ACTCGAAGAGATAAAGCTTTTCAAATTGTATTTTAAGATAATAAATAGGCTAATTCAATGTTTCCACATAATGAGGCAGCCAAAATAATCAAGTGCAAGCCAGAATGCATTTCTTAGGAGTATCAATAAAAGAGTCCTTTAATAAAAACCTAGATCATTTTTGTATGTTATTAAAACTGAAATGCAATAAATTTAAAGTGAAAACTAATAACTGAACACGACAGTTATAAATGTAAAACTATGGCAGAGCTGACCTGAGAAGCAGTGTATTTCCACATGGAGGGCCAAGAAGTAAACAATGGTATGCTGTGGAATATTTTGTATGTTAAATGTGTTGCTCTGATTGGTTAATAAATAAAACACTGATTGGCCAATAGCCAGGCAGGAAGTATAGGTGGGACAAGGAGAGAGGAGAATTCTGGGAAGTGGAAGGCTGAGGCAGAGAGATGCTGCCAGCTGCCACAATGAGAAGCAGATATTAAGATACCAGTAAGCCACGAGCCACGTGGCAACTTACAGATTAATAGAAATGGGTTAATTTAAGATATAAGAACAGCTAGCTAGAAGCCTGCCACGGTCATACAGTTTATAAGTAATGTAAGTCTCTGTGTGTTTACTTGGTTGGGTCTGAGCAGCTGTGGGACTGGTGGGTGAGAGAGATTTGTCCTGACCGTGGGCCAGGCCGGAAACTCTAGTTACAATGGCAAGCCTGAATAAGGCCTGAATGTTGCACTTAAAATGAAATTTAAGATGCATGTTGATAACAAGGTATTATGGGAGATAACAGGTACTTGGTTCCTGAACACACATGTTATTTTGTCAGAAAAATAAAGAATCCCCCGATGTGTGCTTCCAACGATCTCTGGTGAAGCACTACACTTGTCTCTGAATTTCACCAAACTCATGTACCTGTAACGGCACAAGATGAATTATTCAAATTAAAGATAAAGCAAATGAAATAAAATTTCCTTTAAATTGTATCAACTGACATCAAGCAAAAACGTTTTTTGACAGAATGCCCATAAAAAGCAGTTTATTTCAATGGTTTTACTACTATGAAAACAAATTTTGGATGCAAAATTGTTTTTAACTGTTATTCCTTACAAGATATAACAAAGGCAAGCTGACAAATGATTTCTGCTCTCTGTATAAAAAAGATCAAATGATTTCATTTTAGGGAAATTTCATTTTCCCCATTTCATTTTCTTAAAATGTGTGTCTTCAACAAGGACAATGCAGAAATCTGCTCATCAAGTCTTTAATTCATCCCTAACTTTTGGCTACAGTGGCCAAAACACATTCTGTTTTTTTAAAGCAAAAGCAGAAAACAAAGACTCATAGAAATTATGACAATAATTTCAAGAAAAATTTTGTAATGCTAACAATAAGAAGACAAAATCTTTTTTTAAGGGAGAACTGACAGAATATCCAAGAAATGTCTTTAGAGTCTTTCGCAGTGATGTTCCTGCCCAACCCAGAGATTGCATACATATACCCAAAGACATGGGAAGAGAAAGGAAGGCAGGTAGAGGTTTGTCATGAATTAATCTTTTTGTACACTGTGAAGACTTGTCACTCTGATTGGTTTAATAAAACAGCCAACAACTAGTCAGGATTTCTGGGCAGAGAGGACCCTGGGAAGAAGAAAGACAGAGTTGCCAGCCTGATAGAGAGGAAGCAGCATGGGCAGTAGAGAGAAAAGGTTACTGAGCCACATAAAAGAACATAGATTAAAAGATATGGGTTCATTTAAGTTACAAGAGCTAGGTAGAAACAAGCCTAGGCTGTTGGCTTCATAATAAGTCTCCATGTCATTACTGGGGACCTGATGGTTGAGACAAAAAAGTCTGACTACAAATAGTATCCAATATGGGGGCATGTATTTCCACATAAGACCTAAGAAAGCTTTAAAAAAGGTTCCAAACACACTGCCACACAGTCAAACATGGCTTCCTAGTCCCACAGTCTCTCATATGGGCCATGGTTACAGAGAAGCATCTCCTAGCCACTGCTTGTGGGCTTAAGCCAACAGTGTGCCATGAGCTAAGCTTGGCAGTGGTTTAAAGTTTTGCTCATGCAGACAGGAAAGGATGCAGATGCACAATAAAGCAGGCTCAGATGAAAAAAAAAACCCTCTAAACAGGCTACAATGTGTTTAGGCTTAGGGGGAGAAAAGGAAAAAAATGGATAGACAGTCATAACAAAAATAAATAGTTTAAAAATAATAAAGTTTTAAAGAAGGAAGTAAAGCAATAATTAAAAAAGGAATAAGCCACATAAGAATGGGGAATATTATAACACAGGGAGTTTGGACTTTATAGGGTACTTTGTTAATTTTGAATTTTTTTAATACTAGTGAACAGACAGCAGCTGCTGAGAGACATTGGACTATGGAAGGGACTGCTGGATTAAACCAACCTATATACTTTAGAAATGCATTAACTTCAAAATGGAAGTAAAAAATGTATTACATTGGTGAAGAGATTATGCTTTTGTTTCTGCAGGAAATGAAAGGCTGTGGATTCCTTCCAGGTTAATAGAGATCAGATTTGATTGGGGAGAGACATCCTAAGTATCTTGGCTATAGACATGGGGGAAGAAGTCAAGAAAGACTACAGGGTAGGTGTGTTAGCTGATCCCTCTGCATGAGAACAGCTTGGAGATGAGATGAGACTTGATAAATCATGTAGGCTATAGAGTCCATGTGACTTATTATTACATGTCATCCTTTCATATGACATGGATAGAGATTTAAATTATAGTTTGGTTATACAGTCCAAATGGACATATAGTTGATAGATGCCTTTTACCTCCTCAAGTACGGAACAAAAAATCATCTTCAACTGACTTGTGCATACAGGACATTCCATACTTATGTTAATGCCAACATGTATATTACCTTTGAAAGTTTATGTGTTTTCAGAGCAAGGTGACCAGACACTAATAAAAACAGGTGGCCTCTCAGAGGGCTTCTGTTACAATTTCCTCAGAGTTCTGTATCCAGAACAGGTTCAAGGCTACTGGCTGAGATGGTCCAGCTTCACAGATTGTTCTACCCAGGATTTTACCATTATCCAAATTTTCCCAGGGTCCCCCAAAGATTCCAGCACCCCTAGACAACAGGAAGCAGTCTAGAGAACACAATGCCTACATTCCCAAGAAGTTGGGTCAGTGGTTTTTGGTTTTTCAGTGGGTTATGGATGTTTGTCATCATTTAGAGTGGTTGGTTACAAATAGTTATGAGTTATGGTCAAGGAGAAAGCTAAACAAAGGAGATTAGATTCAAGGATCTCTTTCTAAATGGGAAAAATGGGAGATATAGCACAGAAATGATGGGATAAAATGGTGGATTTTTGAGTCTACTTTTGAATAATCACTAGTCTCAAATATTTTACATTGGTATGATTTTTGTATATTGATACAAATTTAAGGTTATTTTTATCATACTGTATGTATGTTTCTATTCTTCTTTAAGGTATTGTACCTATTCACCTTATTTAAAAATGTCATGTTTTAGTCCTTGAAAGTTATTTACAATAATAAAAAATCCAGGCTAATAGTTAGTCATCTATAACAATCAAACTTATAGTCATGTTAGGTATGTTTTCAATGTCATACAGAGATATATTTTAGATAGATAGGTGACCTTCAAACACTTCAAAGACCTATAGAATATGGCATTTAAAATATTATAACAACATTAAGGCTTTTCATGACAGCGCGATATGTCTGCCTCTGGCAGCACCAATTTCTTTCAAAAAAGGATGATGGGCATCAAAGAACCTCCAATTGGATTTTACTTTCTTTGTGGCAAAAGCTAGCCATTTGAGCAAAACACTGCCCTTGCTTCGACTGCTAACAGTATGCTGTCAAAACTGGACAAGGAGGACACAAAAGAGCAATGACCTAACTTTTCCAAGACAGGGTAAGACAACCTTTCAAAATTTTCCTGCTTCACAGAAACACTGACAGATATTCTAGGACTATAGACTGAAGATGGAGATGCCTCAATGTTGCAGAGGAACCTTGGTAACTGTCCAGGCAACCAGATGTCTCTGTCATTTCTATAGTTTTGGAAGTTGCTTGTTCTGCATTTTCTGTTTACTCAGATAATAGTATATCCTTCCGGGTCTTTGATGGGACTGAAGACTAGATAGTTCTAGTTTTTCTCAGTTATGATAGAAGATAAATTAGTACAAAACTTTGGGCTAATCAAGACAGGATAGATAATGGAGTATTTTTTCTGAATTTGCCAAATACAAATGGACAGGACATTGTGAATGTAATTCTTACTTGATAATTGTTCTTATTGTACACATTTTCATTTGTTAAGGTTAATACCTCTCCTTTCTATTTAGACAATATCTGATAATTATTCTTATTGTATATAGCTTTACTATGTTGAGTTAAAACTTTTCCTTTTTATTTAGACAAAAAGGGGGAGGTGTTTTGGAATAATCTTTTTTGTATACTGTGAAGATATGTCACTCTGATTGGTTTAATAAAAAGCTGAACAGTGAATAGCTAGGCAAGATTTCTGGGCAGAGAGTACCCTGGGAAGAAGAAAGGCAGAGTCACCAGCCTGATGGAGAGGAAGCAGCATGGGCAGTAGAGATTAAAGGTAACCAAGCCAAGTAAAAGAATATAGATTAAAAGATATGGGTTAATTTAGGTTATAAGAGCTAGGTAGAAACAAGCCTAAGCTATTGGCCAAGCTTTCATAATTAATAGTAAGTCTCCATGTCATTACTGGGGAAGCAATGGTCCCAACGAAAAAGTCCAACTACAGAGATTTGAAAGCAGCACCTTGTTGCTGGCCTCCTGCCTTGGAGAAACTATTAGTTTACATCCTTGCAATCACTGAGATCAGATCCATAATGGCTTTTCTCCGTGGAAAACTACTCTGCATTAGAATTAAAAACTGAGGAAGATAAAGGAGATGACAAGATGGGGGAAACAGAAGACATGTTGGGGGATCGATGTAATAAGTGAAGACGTACCTTTACTCTGTACTCATCAACATCTATAATGGTGGCGACACGAATTAACTGGGGGTTTCTTTTGTCCACAGCTTCCAGCTTCATGTTTGGCAAAAAGCCATGTGGAGCCCTCTGCAGAATTACAGTGTAACAAGTCAGTGACAAGACAGCAAGTGCATTTCTTTCCGGCTGCACTGTCCCAGGACCACGGTTTTGGTGTAAACACACAGATCTTTAACAAAGTTGGGATTTAGTTTTAAGAGTGCATAGAACTTCATGCATATTTTCAAATCAGTGTTATAAAAACCTATAAAGAGAAAGAAAAATTTTGGCCATTTTAGAAATAGCTACAAAACATAAGAAAGATTCAGTTATAAATTTATCAACGATCATATCAAGGTTTGACAAAATTCTTACTACAGTTTCTGCATTAGTTTAGACTTTTCCTGAAATCAATATAAAATAAGATTGTGTTTGCTATTCTCTCTGCCCATTTAAAATGTATAGCTTAAGAGGAAATTTTCTTATTTAGCAAGTCACTCAAAAAGCTAAACATGATGTTTTCTAAACTTAAACTTTGAGAAAAGCTGCTTAAGTTCAACATCAACACTCCCTTAAAATTTAACTATGATGTAATTTAAAGCCATATGCTATTCTTTCACAGTCTCCCCTACAACATCAGGTTTATGTCTTAAAATATTTGGGATCAAGAGTTCATAATGATAAAAATCAAACAATAAAGAAAATAGGATGGGAAACCCATTGGGTCCAGGAAGTAGTTGTCCTAAGAAAATTTAACTGTCAAAAATGAAACTACTCCAACAGTTTTTATAGGTGAGCAGAAGGGCTTCTCTTCAAATGCTATTTCACATGAAAAGTGTCCAGCTGATTTTATGTGAGAAAGTACATTGAGTTTCTCAAGTCTAGAAGTGGCAAAAGGAAAATAAATCTCTATTAATGTGTCAGTAATAAACAGTTAAGCCATTCTCCAGTATCTGGTAAACCTCACCACATCTTTTATAGGAGAATATTTTCTTTTGAAAGCATTATTACACCTACTAAATGGACTATGCCAATATAATTGGGTCTCTGAAAAGACCTAATTTTCTCCACATGATCACTGTCCTCCACAAGGACTGTAATTATCTAGGGTTGTAGATGCCAAATACACGTATTTAAACTGATCCAAAATCAGCTAGAACTTAGAAGTGTCTTTGTAGCTTAATATTTCCATCTTTTTATTTTCTTGAATCTTTCCTCTAGGAAAATTAAATGAGGACTTGGATAAAGTCAAGAGAGAAAAGGAAGCTACCACATATTAGGTATGCTTGCTTGCTGAAGTGTTAAAGCCTTGAAACTCCTGTAGCATGTAGCACTAGAATCCCAGGCGTCTTTCTTCTGTGTGCCTCTCACCCTACATCCACCAGTAAACCCTTTCCTAGTAAAATAAAAGAATATTTTCCTTCCAATCTCATCTAATCTCCAGAAAACATGCAGTAAACACAATTATTTAAATACCTAACGTATAAAGTTCTGATTAAAGATAAGCCTTTAGTTCCAGTACTCGGGAGGCAGAGGTAGATGGAGCTCTGTGAGTTTGAGTCCAACCTGGTCTATATAGAGAGCTCCAGAATAGTCAGGGCTACATAGAAATACTATGTACTATGTCATAAAATCAAAAACAAACAAAAAGAGGTAATTTGAGTTGGAAGAACACAGTTAGAATTTGGAAGGGAACAGTATATTAAAACCCACTGATTTAGAACACAAGTATTTCTAATTGCATCACTTCTGTATGTACAGTGTTTTACAAATTAATTTCTACCCAGTTAAACCTTTAATAAATAGACATGTGTAAATCTGAAATATAAACATTGGTATTCTCACAATTGCCAGAACAAATATTGCCCTCATGTAGATAAAACTGTGCTTACAAAAGACCCCATCCACTATTACATCTATTTGATTATGTTACCATCACAATCCAAATACCCCTTGACAAAAGGACACAAGTCAAGAGTTCTCAGCTCAGCAGGGCCTGAGAAATGGGTTTCAAGTTCTCCACCAACAGTGGCTGATGGGACTTCTGGTTAGAGCCTCTGGGGTCCTTGATGGAATGTAGGAGCAACAGCAAATAAATACCAACTCCGTATCATTAATTAAATACAAAGCAAGTTGGTTATGAAATTATCACCTAGATTTAAGAATTAGAATCTCGTCAAAGCAGCAGCGGCAGCAGGAGTGGGCACCCACAAGGAACTTACCGTGTTAAAAACTCCAGCAGGCACCGCGTTTGTTTGAGTAGCTTCCAGATAGTCTGTCCAGGAAAACTTTTCTGGATCAGGATAACCTGAGAAAACACACACACACACACACACACACACACACACACACACACACACACACACACACACACACACATCAGAAGAGTTCTTATAGATCCCCTTGTGCTATGAAAGTCTACAACACCACCATTACCTGTCATGTCAGAATTTAACATTTCTTGCCCATTCTTACCCTAACCTCTGGGAGGACTAAAGCAAAGCTGTGCAAGCACTCATTTGATGTGGGATGGTCTATATGTCAAGTTGCTCTGATTGGTCAATAAATAAAACACTGATTGGCCAGTGGCCAGGCAGGAAGTAGGTGGGACAAGGAGAGAGGAGAATTCTGGGAAGTGGAAGGCTGAGTGAGGAAGACACTGACAGCCGCCGCCATGACAAGCAGCATGTGAAGACGCTGGTAAGCCACGAGCCACGTGGCAAGGTATAGATTTATAAAAATGGATTAATTTAAGCTATAAGAACAGTTAGCAAGAAGCCTGCCACAGTCATACAGTTTGTAAGCAATATAAGTCTCTGTGTTTACTTGGTTGGGTCTGAGTGGCTGTGGGACTGGCAGGTGAGAGAGATTTGTCCTGACTGTGGGCCAGGCAGGAAAACTCTAGCTACACTCATTCACTACTTCATTCATTCACTCATCAAGGCCAGGTGGCTTTGTCAGTACTGGGTAGACCTAAGTAGTAGCCAAGACTCTATGACTCCCAAGAGTTATGCTTCTCAGGACCCTGACCAGACCTAGGATTAGCCAGCTGACATTGTGCCAAGAACATGAAGGACTCTAAGGACCTTTTCAACCCCTCCAGTAATTCTATGCTTAGCTGCATTCTATTCTCGCTATTAAATCTGTTTAAGTACAATATTCCAAAATGGCTATATTTATCATTGCATTTTACTTTATTTGTTTGGGGTTTCTGAAGCTGGTTCACATGATGTAACCCTAGGGATCCTCTTATGTCCAGCTCCTGAGGGCTGGGGGGACTGGAACAAGGCACATACAGTAACCAGCCTATCACCAATTTTAAATACATACATAATAGATGTTCAGATACATATGTCCATATTAAAATACACATTTTACATATCTCAAAACAACCTATTTTTCTAATTTCTTTTGGCTGAGTATTTTGATACTTTTGAGGTCGATGTTCTTTTATTAACTGCCTCTATCAGAGATGTACGGATACTGTGCTATTCTCTTCTTCCTTACCTTTTCAGTAATCAGTAATTACATTTATTTATCAGCTCCATCTTTCCTTTTTCTCATCATTTCACTAATCTTACTCTTATCCAATTAGTTTTATTTTAAAGTTGCTTTACTGAACTGAACTGGAAAGTATTTATTTTTATTTTCTTAATTAATGTAAGTATTTCATATTAGGAATCTGTCATTGTTGCCCCTGAATACAGTACTAGAAAACTCTATACACTTGTATGAATTAAGTGCTCTTTTACTTATACTTATAAAAAATTACAGTCCAGTTGAATTATTGTCCATATGTGTAAGAGATATTCCAGGTGATTAATGGTTGTGTTTAAATATTTAAAATATTAATGTTTGTTCTATATAAGGAAATCCAACACATGGATAAGATCAGTTTCAGACTCTTTATAAGGAGATCCTTGATTATTTTTTCCCAAGAAACCTAAGCAGAAACATATTTTAGCCCCTGTTACAATCATCTAAAAATACTGGAATTATGAATAGCAAGCACAACTCCTTACAGCCCTAACTTCCTGGTCTAGGTGACCTTCCCATAGAAGTATGACAACCATCAGTATACTTATAGACAATGAAAGACTCAAAAAACATAGGTGTGCTAGACAACAATGTTAAAATGATGGACAGCAGTTCCATTTAATAACCAGCAGTAAAAGGGATCTTCTAATAAGGAGTGGATTCGATCAGGATAGAGGAAATGTAGATCATAAACACATATGTTGAATGGGTAAATTAGCATGTTAACATCAACTACTCATCCAAGTAGCATCAATTATGGATGATGCCAAAGTAAAGCCATCTACTAGATAACATCATACAAGTGAATGAAATGCTCCATGGTCTGCTTCATAGAAGAAGGCCAAGCTTTGTTCTTCTGAGGAAGAAAGAGAGGCTTGACATTTTGTGTGATTTATCTGAGGAAAAATAACTAAAAGTGAGATCAAAGCTGGAGCTAATGTCTCCTGACCCAATGCTTGGAGGGTTATTGAGTGCTGCTGGGGCCCCTGTTCAAGAAAAATTATTGAGAAAATGAGATTATGTGTCTAGTAGCAACTAAGCTCTGGCTGGCTGATCTGGTCATCCTAACAGCATGGATTACCCTGGAAGCCCAGCAGACACCACTTACCCATCACTCTGTTTGGGATTTTGGATGGAACTAAAAGAAGCTTGGTAGCTCATCCCAGTATGCAGGCCTCCGACAGGAAAGTTTCAAACAGAAAGTGTCACTCCCACGGAAGTCTCTGTATGTATGTGTATGTGGGGGAGCAGTGGTATTCACTGATCGCACAATTGAGTGATCACTAAGGATCCCATGTCAGCACTATATGATCTAGCATGTGATACCTTCACCACTGTAAAGCCTTCCTTAAAACAATAAACATTAGAACAAAGCTCTTGTATTTATACTGCCACAGACACCAGAATCCTTGTATACATATCCAGCTCCACACAATTAAAGGGGGGTGGAGAATGCCTTCTGGCAAAATAACTAAAGTAAGACTGTCAACAGGCTGCCACATCATCACTAGTCACCCACCACTCTTTGATCTACGTAAGGAGAATTGTGCCTCTGGCATTTGTCAAGAGAGACAGTTTGTTAATATTATTTTTTTCTGTTTTGTTGTTGTTTGTTTGTTTTTTAAGATAGACTCTCACTATGTAGCCAGGCTGGCCACAAACTTCCTGCTATCCTCCTGTCTTCTGAACGCTGGGATTACAGGTGCGGACTGCCACATCCAGTTCAGAGAGCTCATTTTGTAAATTTTTTTTTTGCTCAAAATAGAACCCAGTTGAAGCCAATGCAGAATAAATTATATAAAGAAATGAACACAACTCCCTGTCCAGTGAAATCACCAACAACTAATGGATCTGTTCTGCATTTGCCCCTGACCTTGCCTGCTGTCCACTTTTCATGATTGTAACCATTCAGGGTCAGTTAACTGGAATTCCTGTTCTTCCCTCCTAAACTTGGAATAAAAATCTGTAGTTGTTTTTGTCTTTGTTTTCCCCTATCATTAACTGTATAATATTCCACTCAGAGTCACAGAATACTATGACTGACTATTATGTCATCAATTTATTGTGCTTGTTATAGCCTCAGCCCCATCTGTGCCTCACGCTTAAGAGGTGCCTAGTTACTAGCATTTTAATCAATTAATTAATCCCTGACTAAATATGTCAATGGACTATATATACAGGAACTAGCCTATTATCACCAATACAATAATTCTTTGAGTTGTAAATAATTAGTCCATCTTGAAACCAAATAAGACATATCTTTTTAGCATGAGTTTTGATATTATTATTTAGCTCTTCAAGGAAACTGTGAAATAATCACTGACTTCCAACAATATTTTGCATTCTTCAAATGGCTAGGTTACTTCAGACAGATAATCAGCCAATTGGTGATTCCAGAGATACAGGGAAAGCACTACTGTTATTCCTGGAGAGTGAATCGTAACATCACCCCAGGTTTCAAGGATTGTAGTAATAATCTCAGAAAGTAATTTTCATTCAGTATTCATTCACAAGTTTTGATGCTAAACTTACAGTTTTTAAATGTAGGAATAAGCACGCCCTCTTACTGTGCTCCTTCCCAAATACAGCCAAGTATCAATAAAGACATTTAAAATTTTTATTACGTTTTTATTTATGTATTTTTGTGAGTGTAAGGGAAGGTGGGGGTGCCTGCCTCCTGCCACATGTGAGTGGAGGTCAAAGGACAACTTGTAGGAATCAGTTGTCTTCCTTCATCTTTGGTGACCTGGGGATTGAACTCAGGTCACCAGGCTGGATGACAGGTGTCTAGCTGCCAGAGCTAGCTCAAAGGCCCCAATAAAGGCATTTTTAAAGGAATGCTTAACAATAGAGAAAGTATCAACTTAATCGCAAAGAATGCACACAAACCACTGATAAGAAAGGGGATGTGAGTATTCTTGTGTGCCCATATGCAACCATTTGGAAATAGTAAATGATGTATGGCATAAAATGCCAAAGATCTGAGAAGTTTTCTTTCTGGGGAGAAACTTGATCAGCAGTTTCTGGACTCCTCTGCAGTTAGGTACAGTCCTCTGTCTGCTGCTAACTAATGCATGTAAGTCAAACGATGTAAGAAATCATTTCTGAGTTTAGCCACAAAGCCTCCCAGCCACCATGTGCCACCACCAGATCAGGACATTCCCAAGGACCCAGAGAGTACTGGCCCTGAAGCAACTGACACCATTAATCCTTACCAGACACGGCTGCACTGTGGCAGAAGGGGGGATGTGCTTAATGTGTTAAAAACATTAAGATTTTGAAGTGGTTTAATACACTAGTTAGCTCACAGTTACTAACAGAAAGGGACTAGTAACAATGCTTTTACGTGGAAGGAAAAACTGACTGGGAGGGAGAAACAGAAGGCAACAAAAATAGCAAGTTTTGCAGCTGAAGTACTATAAATAAAATGCTATTTAATCAAAATAATAAATTCATTAAAGCACAACTAATACAATAATATAAAGTCACAGTGAAAATAGATTAAAAGCCCATGGGTTATGTCAACAAATATTTCTGGAAGCATGCAAAGCAAGCCAGAAAATGAAAACTGACTTAACAGGCCTGAGAAAGCCCAGACATAAATCTGCTAAAGGAGAATGCCGATAGCGAGCAAGCAATCCGTGAGAATCTAGGAAGATCTGTCACCGGACACGTCTGCAGGCAGCACCGTGGACCCAAAAGCAGACAGCTGTCTTCAAGTTCTGACGGGCACTGTTAGACCCCATGCACACTATGCAAACGTTCCAGTTT